TTTTGCACCTGTCAGCTACCGTACAAACGTGTCAGTGAGGCTTGAAATATTAAAACATATTTCATCAACTTTCCCTGGATTACTTAAGCTTAAAAATAATAACCTTTTATGATAAGCAGCTTCGAATTGAGATGGGACACAGGGTGTGAGTAGATCATAAAGTGACAGACTGAAAAATGCAGCGTAGTGGATATCAGATCGATAACTGTTAGCCGTGTAATCACTCACTCAGACTCAATATCACAAGTCTCTGTCAGGAGAAGACTCAAACAGAGTGGAAAAAGCAAGGCACTTGTATCCAGTACATTTTAAAATGGCTGATAAATGAAGTAAAGGAAAAAGTCCTCAATAAACGCTGGTTTGGTGCCTTAGAATAAAACAACATGAAAAAAGGGTTCTGGGTCGCGCAGATCAGATAAACTGTTTGTTTGACTTTACTTAGTGTAGACATGCGTGGGAGGAGAAGATTGAAACATTTAATATTTATTCCCACCACTGTTTTTTCTATTCATGTTTGTAACCATTCCTGAGGACCACCTCCTCCATCTCCCCTCACATCCAGCGTCTCCGTGTTTTACGGAGCAGCAGATTTGTGCGCTGTCCTCTAAATCATTTCCCTCTCTCGCAGATTGCTCCCTGCTGGAATATTGGCCTGACAGCCGTTTTTTTTTTTTTCTTCTTCTCATTCTTGCTTCCCCAGTGGACTCATTTACATTTATGCACGCAGCAATTAATTACAGGCTGGCGCTGGCCTTGTAAATTAGAGGGAGCCGAGGTCGGCCTCATTATTGGCCGTGACAGTTAAAGCCTTGTTTGGGTCGTGACAGGGTGACTCCAGGCCTTCATACATCTGATATCACTTTGCAGCAAATTAAGAAAACGTCATGTCTTGATGAACATGTTTTTTGTTAAAATATTTTGCTTTCTATATTCCAGGATTTCCTCTTCTCATTGGTCATCATTCCAGGCGTTGTGTTGTGTCTTAATGCCTTGTGTGTTTTGGGGGTCTTTCCTCCAAATACTTGTTCTATAGACGCAGGAGTCAGGCAGGCGACTTCTCACGGTATTGGCCTTTTCATGGGAAGACGCTCCAACTTTTTTCCGGCTCCTTCCCTCACAAGGCCCTCCTTTCTTCTCTGTCACGCAGCGATGTGTTTGTGCATACCTTACCAGCTTGACAAAGGAAGCGAGAGATCCTATTCACTTCTGCCTTTGACATTCACCTCATGTTTTTACAATCTTTCCAAGGCGCGCTGTTTGCACAGTGGAACAGGCTTTGTCTTGAATAAGCGGGACAATGGAGAGCGCCATCATGTAATCTCCTCGGGGTGCTGAGCAGAGGGGCGAGGTTTAGACGTATGTGCCGGCGCTTGCCTCTACCCTCTCCCTTCCTTCTGGCCTTTTTAACTCTGGAGAGAATACATGTTGTCACTTAAGCCCCTCCTAATGTTCACCTAGGTCTTTTGTGAAGGGAACACAAAGGTTTTTCACTCATGCAAACATCCCCTTCCCTCTTTCCACCTAATAAAGGTGTTCTGAGCCCACCCACATGCATATCTGCAAACCTGTCCTTTTCTATCAATGTGACCATAAATATTGAAACATTATCTTTCCCCCACCTTAAGCAAGTGTTATCAGGCTAGACCACAAAAGGGATCAAAGTTCTGTGCTATGTACACCCAACCAATCAAGCACCCTTCAACATGAGTGAAGGGTACGCTATACCTTAACTCCAGCATGCTTGTTGGATTGTCAAACAATGTTAAACACTAATCCACTTCACACACCTCTCAGCCTTAGAACTATCATACAGTGACGCCCAATTCAAACTACATGAATCCAGGTGTGTGGAGGAACGTTTTTGTGGGATTATGATTGATTATTCTTTTCTAACTATGTATTTCTATAGGTTTGTGTAAACCGCCTCCAAAAGCTAAAATCCCTGTGCTAAAATCACTACAGAGCCGTCCAGCTAACCAATCAGAATACACTGGGCTCTGGTTTCAGACAGAGGGTGAGGCCTCTTTCAATAAATATATCTTGTAGGAAGTTGATTGACTCTAGTGATAATCCTAAAGAGTCTAAATTGGATTATGAAGTGTAAAACACAGTCAAATAATAGCTGGGTGATAATAGGAGGATGAAAAATGATAGACAAATAAACAGAAACATCACAAGGCCTGCAAAACATGGCCTGCAGTCCTGTGAGAGTCAACGTGTGCTATAAGCTCATCGTTTATGGGTCAAGTGAATCTCATTCTGGTTTAATTGGCCATATGATTAGTTGGAACCATACTCCGTTTCCTATGGTGCAGACATGGAAGTGGCAGCGCAGAGCCTCATGTGGTGCTAAGCTCATTGAGAGAGCTTCTGTCTCATAGAGATCCATTGTTCTGACTCCAGTGTGTTCGCGGCTGCACAAGTGGCATTGACAGCTGCAACAAGACAACATTTGGGTCTGTGCATATTTTGTTTTGCGTGAATGCGTGCATTCATTGTGCAGGTGCAGGCAGACGTTTCGAAAGCAATAAATTGTGTCTTCTTGTCGTGCAACATATCTGTTACCTCTCCATGTCACGGCTCTGCTGCAGCCAGAAGAAGTACAGTAGTACATGTGCCGTTTTACAGCAGTGGGCCAAAGAGGTAGCTGTTACTTCCTGCAGTTGTCAGGAGGAGAATTGAATGTCAGCTCCCTTGTCTCGGCTTTCCGAAGCCACATGTAGGAGCTTGAAAATGTACAGTGGCAGGAATTGAAATGTATATTCATGAACTCTACTGCCACACCTTCCATAACTGCACTTTAGTAAAACCCCTGCACACACACTGATTACATCTTCTCTGCACCACACCTTAATTATACTTATTAACAAAGTGCATATTTAATTGTGTGAATGTACAGTTTTTACATATATGTGCATGGATACAGAAATGCATGGGCTGTTACGTGCAGAATTAATGTAGTGTACATGCTGCACTTGTGTGTGTGTGTGTGTGTGTGTGTGTGTGTGTGTGTGTGTGTGTGTGTGTGTGTGTGTGTGTGTGTGTGTGTGTGTGTGTGTGTGTGTGTGTGTGTGTGTGTGTGTGTGTGTGTGTGTGTGTGTGTGTGTGTGTGTGTGTGTGTGTGTGTGTGTGTGTGTGTGTGTGTGCGTGTGTGTTTGAGAGCATGTGTGTTTTGCGACAGCTCCTCCACTGGGCAGCCAGCTGTCTCTCTGATTACCCAGCATCCTCCAGGTGTCAGATCTGCCATCTGCAGATGAGTGGCAGGGCGTGTGGAACGGAGGAATGGAGGGAAGAAAGGGGGGTAAAACTAAAAACTAAAAATAAAGGGAAAGAGAATAACTGGTTCTGTAGAAATCTAGAGCGTGTTCAGGCGGGTCAGTCGATCGGAAAAGTGGCTTTAAGAGTCCTTAGCTTTTCAGGGTGTATTGCTTCTTCTGCAAAAAAGCAGTTGCCTCTAACAGAAGTGTTTACAGCGGTGTTTCTCACAAGTGTGTTTTTGCCGACTATTTGTTATCATTATTATTATCATTAAGAGCACAAGCCTTTGAGTTTTTCTCATCAGAATTGCCCGTAATTGTGCCCTGAGAGGAAAAAGAGAGATTAAAAAGACGTGAATAAAATATCACACATGCCCAGTGTTTGCCTTTTTTCTTCATTGTTCTCAATTAGCCTCAAATTGTGGAATCAAAGGCGTGTTTGTGTTGCGCTTTCTGTACAACTTAGAGGGCCGTCATGATGCATAGAGCCGGAGAAATGCTGCTGTGTTGTGTTTTGTTGCCCGTGTGTGTGTGTGTGTGTGTGTGTGTGTGTGTGTGTGTGTGTGTGTGTGAACCCAGCCTCTCTCCTTAGGTCTCTCCTTAACCAGTTCATTTTTCCCCTTTAATTAGCAGCCTCCCATTCTCAATCTAGCTCCCATCCTCTCTCAATTTGGGGCCCACTTTCCTGATCATGGTACCTTCAAAGTGCTCCGTCAGCAGTTTGACCTCTTTGATGTTGTTATTTGTTTTCTATGACCCCTGCTTTAGCAAATCACTGTCTGTAGTATGCTCTTGTGTGCGTGTGAGGCTATAATAAGGCGGCCCAGGAAAAGATTAGCTGTCCATTTGATGAGTTTTATTTCCTCTCATTTGAATCAATTTTTTAAAATGAAAATATCAAGTATCTCTAACTGTATTAGGAAAGATCACGGCCCAATTTCTCGACTTCAACGCTCCGCATAGGAATCACGCTGTTTGTCGTTTGTCCGGCTTTGCGTGTGTGCCGTTGTTTGTGCAGTGTGAGAAACACACTGATCCTCTGTTGGCCTGCAGTGGGCTTCACACAGGACGTCTGTTCTGTGCTGAACATCCACTAAACACGGGGACCTCAGGTGGGTTCGAGAGTGCGTTCGCTGCGCTCCAAAAACACTTTTCAATCCAAATTTTCATACTTTGTCAAACCTCAATTCGCTGGCGGGATGTGAAGAGTTTGGTCAGTGTTCATTAAAATGTGTCCTGATGTTAATGGCAACACACCCTTCCTTTAAAGGGTTGTTTTACCCAAAATGACACATAACATTTTTCTCACTTACCTCTGGTGGCGTGCCATGCAGACGGCTTTGGGTTGAGTCGCCCAGGATTTGAGGTCTCTGAGTTTTCTGCCGCTTATCCAATACAATGGAAGTGAAATTGGGAAATTGTAAATCCATTTCTGGTACTCACAAAATGATCATCTGTTACTCGAAACTAAATCTGTTATTTATTTGGTAAAAGGTTTTATGGTGAGAAGTTGACCATAAATGGAAATACAAATATAATAAAAACAATCTTATCATACAAGACATGAGCGGCAAAACATTTATATTTGTGTGAAATGTAAATGTTTTGGTCTTGATGATGATGATGATGATGATGATGATGATGATGATGATGATGATGATGATGATGAATAACATACTATACAAAACAAATGATCAAATAAACGTTATAATAATCCTTTTCTTCTGTGTCTCTCTTCTCCAGGTGACGTTCATGCATTTTAAACTCATCCACAAGTGAGAAGAGGGTGTCGGAGTTGAAGTCTCTTATTCCTGTAAGTTTCCTTAATGAATTTCTTCGAATGATATTTATTTATGACGCAGCCAGCTTGTGTTTGCTTTGGTGCCACTGTTAAGCACTTTGGATGATTGCCTCCACCAAACGGCAGATAATAAGCTTTCATAGAGAGCACGCACCAGCAGAGAATGCACCAACGCCTACCGGTGTTTGAACACATCACACTGTTGTTTTATCAGAGCGGCACGCAAAGTGTGTGTGTTAGCAAAACTGTAGCTGACTCTGTGCATGTCCGCTGCCTCGCTCCCCTCCGTCGGCACATACAGAACGCTTTTGATTTGTTTCACAGCGAATGCAGACCTCCACTCGGGTTAGTATTCTGCCCTCAATAGCTGCTTTCACTTGAGTGAAGAAAGGGGTCTTTTAAAGACTCTCACAGGCATCACTCCAGGAACCTTTCAGCGCCCGGGACCTACAGTACAGTATGCCTTTTAATGGACTTTCTCTCTGTGAGCAATAAAGATTATATCTGGAGTCAAATAGTGCTGTAGGTAACACTAACCCAAATTAAGCTGGTGAGGCCGCAGCGGCTGATCTTGATGGCTTCAGCAGAGGCATACGAACAGTATGAAGCGTACAGATGGGAGAGGTTGGAGAAAAGAGTGATCTGAGCATCTGGCTAATCCCCCTGTTTAAGAATACTTATTAAGGCCCTCTCTAGTGGCCCTTGAGCCGTGTCACTGCCGGGTCAACAAGTGGCCTCACTCGCAGCTCGCTCAGAGTGAAGAGACGAGCTTCAGTGTTCTGGTGTCGGCGATAATCTGCGTCCTGCTGTTTGGTTCGAGGAGCTCGGTTTCAAAGGCTCGATTTATGGCTCGTGTAAATCGTGTTGTATCACAATGAACAGTGAGTTATGGTTCCCACACTGGCTGTCGAGGCTCTTATTAAGGGGTCACTTTGATGCAACCTGTGACAAGATGTAGCAAGGAGACACGTTTTTAAAGAGGCCCAGTTATGCTTTTTTTTTTTTTTTTTTCCTTTCCTGTAGTTTTCATAGGGTTTAGTGCATGTAAACGGTCTGCAAAGGCTAAGATCCCAAAGTTCACGCCTGTCATAGTGACATCAGTATCTAACACTCATACTTCTATTGGCCAACAAATTGTATGTGATATGCTAAGGGGCGGGACATCTCTAAGCTGTTGATAAATACAACAGGCTGGGCTCTGGTTTCAGACAGAGGGTGAAAAGAGGTGCTGCAGCACAGACAGTATGAGAAAATAATTGTTGAACATTAAAGCATGTAAACATGTCACAGTAGAGACAAACAATACACATATGAACCTGAACATGAGTCAAACATGTTGAGGACTGTTGATGTGGATCATTTGGCTGTAGACGGATACTTTGATGTTTGGGAAGATGATATTCTATGACAGAATAATACAAACATTACAGTAATTATTACAGGCCACATGCATTTATTTCTTCTGCCTAATTGCCGTGCGTTTGCAGAAAGGAATTGTGTCATTATTGGGGAGAAGCGGACCACTTAGGCCACTTTTAATTCCATCAAACTCCCTTAATTTCATCAGTTCATCTGGAAACTTGAAATCACATTATTGTTTCTTTTAACATGCAATTGCTTCTCCAATCTAATTACATGGCGGTAAGATGACAAGTGGACCCTCCTAACAAAATTACAGCCTTCATAGGGTCTACCGATCTTGTCGTGACAGGATGGATTTCTGGTATCTTTGTTTTTTAATAAGACTTGGGAAGAAAGCGGGTGGTGGTGTGTGTTTTGCAAAGTCGAAGCCTTGACATGTACTGTACATACTGTAGCTAATGGTTTTGATCAGAAGACGTAGGGTGTGTCTATGAGTAATGTTTCAGATGATCTGACTGCACTGGATACTTCACAACATCTGTCTTAAACATTGGTTACACTGTTTATCCGATGAGCATGGAGAACGAAATCCAGGTTTGTATTTGTGCATTCAAATAAAAAGAGCTTGATAAGGAAAAGAAGATCATACTGTAGATCTAGTGTGTGATACTTAAGCATAACATTTGAGTTTTCCTCTGAGATATATGCTGAACCTGTTGCTTCATATAGTTGTAAGTAGCAGTGAGAAAAAACGTTGAGAACAGATTTGAGCCGCTTCATGCATCATAACAGGCCTATTTGCAGACCTCTGTTGTTACGCATGGTTGCTGTAATGGCAGTAATTTGCAAACAGTTAGAAGAGTGACCAGACAGTGAGCAGCGGTTGGGCTGATTTGCGCTAAGCTAATGATCTAATGAGCTAACGAACCCACTGAGGTTACCTGTTTGGCTTCCCCCAAAAACAATGTCCTCCTCCGGGGAATTTACTTCAGCTTTGTATGTGAACTTCACTGCGTTACAGACAAATCAGCGCTGCTAATGGGCAGCGTCTAACATCATTTTGTGTCGTTTCTCAGTACTTTACCTTACGTTAACAGTGAGCCATTATGTCTTCTGGAGCTCGGACATTTCCTTAATTGATCCGATTTGTCCACACATATGAAATGTCCACTTTGGTTTACAGTGGAGCCTCCTTTAACGGTGGGAAAAGGGAGTGAGCTCCAGCGATCCGCTACGGCCACGCTTCGAGTCCCCGCTTTCGCTCATGCGTGCCAGGAGTACATATGTTTGTGCCTTATGTATTTAGTTGTTTTCCAGGCTGTGTCAATTTATTTGTGTTTGTGCTTGCGTGCATGTTTGTGTTTTGCACACTCATGCCTCATCAACATCCCGTCTGAGGCCCATCTGGTTTGTTTGATGGGGGCTGGTGCAGCGGCCCTCGGGTTCGGGGCCAGCAGCGGTTCCTCCCCACTTACACATAAATCCACGGTGCGAGGCCCTCTGCCAGAAACAGTATAGACCGACCCTCGTGGCTACTTCCCAAACCACCCAAGCTCATACCCCACTTTCTCTCTTCTATTGCCCTTGAAATGGGGCCTGCTCTAAATATTATCTCCCCCTGTGCTTTATCCCTCCGTTTATCCCTAAGTCGGCAGGGAGAAGAAAGCAGCCGTGGGGCTGAGTCACTTTTTCCTCTCTCTTCTCCTCTCTCCAAACCACAAGGCAGCGGCAGCGGCTTCCTGGAGATGAGCGCTTTTGTCTGTTGTGCGACCGCTGCGGCTTTAGGCAGATCCTCCTCTGATGAGGTAATGCACGGCTAGATGAGGAGGCGCAGTGAGAAAGGAGAGCTGCCTCTGCATCTATATTTTAACCTTTGATTTATCCAGGAAAAAAGGCTTCTTTATCAGGATGCATGCTCCCTTTTTAGTGGTGGAAAAAAAGTATTCAGATGCTTTACTTGAGTGAAAGTACCAAAGTATTACCAGCAAAAGTATAACAAGTAATCATATTGACATTTCTAGATAAAATTGATGCATCAAGTGGAACTTTACTGGTGCAGACAATCAAACTTCTTATGGGCTTTTTGTAGACTTATTTTTTAAAGATGCATTGTATAAAGTAGCATTAATACATACTCAACACATTTACTTAAAGGTGGGGTAGGTACTTTTGGAGAAACCAGCTCGAGTGCGCTAGAATTTGAAAATACACAACCGGAAAAAATCTGCTACTTCCTTATAGAGCCCCTCCTCCAACACACACGAACGCGCACATGACCAATGAGGGCACGATATAAGTTTGTGCACAGATGGAAGGCTGACAGGCAGGTAGGCCATCCAGTTATTTTAGCCGGGCCGGCTCAGATGATTGGTCGTGCTTTTTACAGTATTACGGCTTCCACAGATGACATTTTTGTATGGATTTTTTGTCAAAGCACTTAAGATATTCATTGCTATCGGGATGTTAAGAGCATTCCATGGAATATAACAAAAGTGTCTCTCGAGCCGGTTTCTCAAACTTACCTACCCCACCTTTACAGTAAGTACAGTACTTGAGTTAATGTACTTAGTCCCACCTCTGCTCCTTTTCAGAAACACCCTGCTCGGAGATTGACAATAATGTGGGTGCTTTGATGATTCAACATTAACGGTGGAGAAATCATTGTTCCTTTGTGGAAAGATTTTCCAGGTGATCTTGTTTTCCGACCGTTTTGATAATAGGAAAATTGTATACTTTCAGGGAATTATGCTGTCACTTAATTTAAGGGTGGAAATATGAGATCTGACGGTGCAGTTCAGAATGTTGGCAGGTTGGAAAAGAGGAAGGAGGAACAACCCTTTTTATATCGCTTGTGATGGTGTCAAACTTCCAAAAGCATTTCACTCTGCTTTGTTAATACAGAAACTTCAAGAGGTGCGATAGGGGTTGACGAATGGTCAAATGTTTTAGAGCAGAGTATCAAAATGACTCGGATACATCCTGTTGTCAGCGGATACATCCTGTTGTCAGCGTGTCTTTTCCATTTTCCCTGACGGTCACGAATCACGAGAGTATTCCTTCAACAGTGTTTGCTGAAAAATTAGCTGATGAAAGAAAGGGTTGATGTCTTCAGTGCTTCAGAATAAAAAGCTCATGACACGCACACAGCCCAGGCCAGGCGGAGGAGCTGGCAGCGGAGAGAGGTGTACTACACGGTGAATTTGTAATACTGAAATTGGAGTAGAGTGGGGAAAAATTTGAAGTGAAGTGAGGGTAAATGAGTTTCTTGAATTCAGTTTTAACAGCGACAACAGGCTGTTAGTGATGAGTTTTGTAAGGCAAAGGAACAAAATACATAAGAGCATAATTCTTATAAGCGAATGCATTTCCATTAGCTTTCTTCTGAATGCTTCACCAACTTTGAAGGACATTTCTAAATATTTCCAGATTTTATCAGAAGTATGTTAGATTAAACAACATTTTGCAACAATTTAAAAAGGCCTTATTATGCTCATTTTCAGGCCTCTACTGTGACATGTTTGCATGTTCAAAAAGGGCTCAATCTTTCTCATACTGTCTGTGATGGGACCTCTTTTGACTGGAACATTGGGATTTTAGCCTTTGCAGACCATTTACATTGACAAACACCTATATAACAGCTAAAAAACACA